TGCAAGAAATACTTCCTTAGCTTAGCTCATCCAGCCAGTTAAAGCATTTCTTTTCATGGAAATCTGGAAACTTGCCTTGATGAGCAGGCCCATGCAGAACAGAGAAAGAGTGAGAGAGACAGATTACGTGGCATCCATGCCCTTTCTTGGAGAAGAGTTACAGCAGAATTTGTCTCATCCTGTGGGCTGTTCATGCAGTCCTGACAAGAGACCATGCTGTGTTTACTCTGACTAGACACACACAGCTTCCAAAATCACAGTTATCTGAAAACCTCTCCTTTTCCGTGTCACCATCTGCCTCGCAGCTACTTCCTTACTAGTGTGATCATGATTTTTATATAAAAGAAAGCATATCAAAGGACCGGCCAACTGGAACAGGGGCTTGTGTGGTTACACTGGAAGGTAGATGTGTAGTTCTGAATTATGACTGAGTGAATTATTACTTTCATCTTGGAAATCTAGTTTGATACGTCTGTATGTAGTTTAAAGTTAAAGGCATAGTTATGGAATCAGTCTTTGGTACAATATGACTGCACTCTGAATGCCTTTACCAAAACATGAATGTATATGTTTGTGGGTTTAAAGGTGTTTTACATATTTCTGTCTAGTAATAGGTCCCTTTACATAGTGTTAGGCATGCAGGAAGACTTGGGTCACTTCATACTTCAATGAGTGGGGTCTTTTGGAGCAGGAAACAACAAACTGCAGCTGTGTGAGAACATAAAGTGTGGCTGAAAGCCAGTTTAAAATAATCTCCTTGTTCAGTAAAAAATCTGTACCTCAGTACAGATGAGCCATAGTTAGATGTGCAATTCAGCATGAGACTTGCCAGGTAAGGGAAGGAAAGCCCAATCAGCAATCCAAATAATTAACTTAAAATGCTTCATTGATAATTCCTCTTTAATATAAAATAAAAAAGTATATACTCATGGAATAAAAAAAAAGCACCAGTAATACCACTAATACCAGTACAGGTGGTGTGTTTTTAGATTCCATGAGTATAGACTGAGATAGCAGTAATTGGCCTTGGCTTGTACTGTATTCAGTGAAATTATATTCCAAGGTTTCCAGCTATAGTTCACATGAGGCCACTGTGAATCCTGAAAATTTTTTCCCCAACTGAGATTTAGTGAACAGCCATGAAAGAGAGTTGTTGAACTGTTTAAATACAATTATTATGCAGTAAACAAAAGTGACTGGCTGTCTCTTTTAAATCAAAGATGGTTTGCTTCTCCAGGCTGCACTTTACTTGGAGCTCTCTTCCGGGGATGCACTTGTGTGGCCTGCATGTTTATGACAGGAGGAAAGTGTAGAAAGTGTGTACTGTATTTCCATGAGGTCAGGGAGAAGGCACAGCTGGCTAATTAGCGTAGATGTCTATTTCTTCCTGACAGGAAATGTCTCCCTGACATTAAACATTTTTTTTCCAATAATACATCCTACTACCTGAATTGACTAGAGCAGGGGTGCCCAAACTTTTCCCCTCAGAGGGCCAAAATGAAAATGCGTTACTGGGCCGAGGGCCGGGTGGGTGGCGGCGGCGGGGATATGTGTTTATTATAAAGGTATTTAACATTTCACTATTTGTACAAAGAACAGGAAGCAAATACAAAGCAAATGAATCTTTATTTAGCCACAAATTATGTCCATATGCATGTCCATATTAACAGCAAACAGCAGCAGTTTGACACTATTAGTGAGACACATGAAGCTGGTCTTTGGCTTTGACCAGCCTCTCAATGTCAGGCTGAAGCTGACTAACTGAGAGGGTGAGAACGTCCTGCAGGTGTAGATCAGTCAGAGTGCTTCTGAGCCTGGTTTTGTTAAGGTTCATTACACTGAAAGTCTGTTCACAAATGTAGGTGCTGCCAAACAGAGATAACATCACCTGTGCATGCTTCCTAATGTTTGGGTACCGTTCTGGTGAGATGTGTGTAGAAGTCCTTCAGTTTCAGTGACATGAATTTATTCCTCAGCTCTGAATCGCACTGAAACTCAATCAGCTCCATCTGAATGTGATCAGGGACACAGTCCACACCTGTGCTGAAGGGTTGGGAAAACAGCTCCATGTCACCTGAATTCTTCCTGAAGTCCTGAAAGCGCATTTCAAACTCCAGTGTGAGCGTGTTTTGTTGTGAGCGAAGTTTAGCTAACAACTCTCTTGGTTCTTTGTCTTCCGTGCCTCGCCTTTGAACCTTGAGAATGCTGCATGCCTCGTTTCATAGTGCCGGCGGATATTGTACTCTTTTAGCACAGCAACAGACTGACCGCAAATTAAGCAGACCGCCTTAGAATTAATATCCGTGAAAAAATATTCTTCCTCCCAGGTTCGTTTAAAATGCCTTTTGTCTGTGTGCCACTGTCTACTGCTCTCCATGTTGCTTGCTACTGCTCCGTTCTTCGTGTGGTTGTTCTTCTTTTTTTTCTTCTCCTTGTTTTATTGGCGGGTTGCAAGCTGAGCTGGGAGCTGCTTGACCTGACAACTGGGGTGGCATAATAAATTGTGGGGGGCCAAGAAATGTCCACGCGGGCCAAAACAAATGTTCCGCGGGCCAAGCTTTGGGCACCCACTTTGGGCACCCCTGGACTAGAGGATGCAGTTCACTGTTTGCTTGTATTGTACAAACAAGTAAAGCTACTGGTGATTGAGTCACACTTTGTGGCAGCAGAAAAAAGAAGCGAGTTCATTACAGGGAGAAATATAAAACACATGCCCTGGCTGTAATCGCATCATTATGTAATAGAGAAATTTCATGGAGGTTTGGAAATATTGCCAAGAAATCCCAGCAGAAAAGACTTTAGTCGCCAGCACACCCTATCAGAACGGCTTGCAAAACTGATGATCAAACATTCATGATGACGTCTACTCAGGATTTTTTACCACAAAGCAAAGAAAGACAAAAATGTGTCTAGTCTAATTTATAATACAACTTGTCAGAGGAATTTGCCTTCCTGTGTTACGGGCTGAATATCTAATTGCTTGA